TTTTGAGCCAGTAGATTCTAGGTCCTCTACTCATTGGTTTAAATTTCTTTAGCTGTTAAGAGAGCATGTTGCGTCACCTGGAATTATCCCACATGGAAGCCCCAAAGGCTTATCCTGAATGTAAAAACCTATTCCTTCTCTTGCAGGGCCCTGTCCTCCTAGGGACCTTTGAAATCTTGCTCATAGGAGGTACAAGTGATGAAGAAACAAGACAGGTGACTCATCCCCAGGTATCTGGCAAGCAAGACAATATAAAAGAGCCAAAGTGTCATTTGCCTTTGACCTGATGCAATGGTTGACTACTTAATCACAAAACAATTTGTCCAGTTACTGGATAAAAGCTTCACATTGGATTGGTGACTGGGAAGACAATTTATTCAATAAATGTAAAAATGGAATGATGCTTATCAGAGGCTGGGATGGTAAGAGCAGTAGAAAGGGAAAGAAGAAATATTGATTAAAAACTAAATGAAGGCTAGTGTAGCTGGACATGATAATTAATGCAGGCCTGTCGTTCATGCTGTTCTGGAAGCTGGCACAAGTGACTCCCAAATCCAAGGACTTCTTGGCCTACAGAGTGATTTCAAGGCCTAACTGAATGTCTCAGTGAGACCCTGTCTCAAATAGAAAGTAAAAATAAAATTGCTGGGGCCATAGCTCATTGGTGGAGGGGTTGACTAGCATCCTGAGCTATAGCTATAGGGTATCGATGTTGTAACAACTTCACAGAGACTCCAGAGCAGTAAAGACTAAGAACCCCATGACCTTAGCAAACAAAATTCCAGTGGCCTTTGAGGGAGCAGCCTCGTCAGAGTGCAGAACGGAAGTCAGCAAGCAGAGCTGCAGAAAATGTGAAAGGCAATGAGGGCACATAGGAACTGGACTGACTCTTTTCATGAACAGTTCTTGCTGTGTTGCCTTGACTACTCTTAAACTCCTGAGATCAAGCCATCTTCCCACCTCAGCCACAGACAGCCACCACTGAAGCTGGCTGATAGACCTACTTCTTAATTTACCAAGGTCTGATGAAGCTCTTCATGCCTGTCCTTGATCATATTTCTTGAATCTGGCATGATTTCAGGAATGAAGAGGAAAGCATCAGGCACATTCTTGAGGATGGAAAGAGAATAAAAAGGGAAAGTAGAAAAGAAGCAAAAAAGAGTTTTGTATGTGTTCATTTAAGGGAGAGAACAGAATATAAAATATAATACAGAATATTATGGAGTTTCATGGCTTTTAAAATAGAGCTCAGTAGTCTGGGTGCTTAATTATTTCTCCTTCTCCTTCACCTTCACCTTCTTCTCCTTCTTCTTCCTCCTCCTCCTCCTACTCCTACTCCTCTGCTTCCAAACCTGTTTAAATCAATTGCAGACTACTCCTGCAACTCACCAGCTCCAGATGTTCCCTCAGACTCTGCACCCCAGGTTTTGGCACCAGATGAATGAAAGAAAAAGGAAGAATATGACTGTTCCTAGGTAAGGTGGAGGAAGTTTATTGTACATATGAGAGAGCATTCTCAGAAGCAGAGATATCTTGGAGAGTCCAGAGTAAACATGACTCTGAGTTGAGCCATGTAAGGAGACAGGGAAGGGGAGAGGTGCCGCTGGCCAAGAGGGGTGGCCTAGGCTAAGAAATTAGCATAGCCAAAATGGCTGAGTTTCGTAGGGACCAGAGGGACAGTTGAGGAGGGAAATTCTGCCCAATACTTGGGATGGAGAGTTCAGGAAAAGGGTATGCCAGCTAGGAGGACACTGTAACAGGTACAGACTGAGGGATGCTGGGAGAACCTGGCAGCCAGATCTGCTTTGATATGTTAATGGAACCTCAGGGATTTGCTCTGGGTTTGAGACCTAACACTCTTATTCCTTGATACCCAGAAATGACAGTAAATGATCCCAGTTCACAATATGAAATATGTAATTGTATATAAAATATGGGAATTGTTCTAAATGCCTAAATCCCCCATTGTGTGTGTGTGTGTGTGTGTGTGTGTGTCTGTGTTTTCATGTGTTGCTGTGGATGAAACTTAGACCCTTAAGCCTCCCACACGTTAGGCAAGCACTGTACCACTGAGATATAGTCCAGCCCCACTCCCCCACTCTTTCCTCCTATGATCATTTATCTTAGTTGCTTTTTATGGGAAACATGAATGTTAAAAGTGTATTTTCAAAGACCAAGGTAGGAACATTTACATTTCTTCTATGAAATAGGTCCAGATGTCACCATCCCTGCTAAGTGCTTCTGTGTTGTGTTGGTTTTCAGATGCACTGTTTCCCCAGTTTCACTGAGGAGTTTGTGCTTAGGACAGAGAATAGAAAACCAATTCCATTTCCACCTGCTTTACATTTGCTTTCCAGTACATATCACCTCACAGTGGTTTCCCGCATGGCGCATTACGTGATCAGTGATCATTACATTAAAAGGGAGAAGCGGGGTTGATGATTGACTCCTCTCTTACCCAGAGTGTTTGTCAAAGGCAGGAGGCAGAAGTTCCATTTTGCTGTTCTGGTGATTGTCAAGGTTACAGCACATTTCTGTTAGCATAAAAATCTTCTCAAACAAGGTGTTTAATGGAGCAGACCTTTTTCAGGGGGAGGAAACCCTCCCTGTCAGGATAAACAGTAGAGAAAATGAGCTAGTGACCAAAATGAGCTCATCTCTGCTTTCCAAATAAAATTCATAACTGGGATTAATGTTACTTAATCTTTTTCTATAACTAAGACATTTTCCTAACAGCTGTATATATAATATATTGTATAATGTATATTATATATTATATAATAATATAATATGTATATTATATAATATACAGCTGTAATGTTATAATTATGCAATATATAATATACATAATGTTCTGTAATATTTTGGAGGGCCATAAACCATTGTAACATTGTAATATCTCGCATATCACCACCACTCCCAATTAAAAACAGTTGCAAATGCACGTCTTGGATTCTGCTTGCTAACACACTCTGGGTAAATTCAGATGACGTTTCACTGTTAAAGACTTCTCTATATAAAGCCACACTAGAGTGCTTCTAGAGTGTAGAACTCAAGAAAGTGGACAATATAAAATGGATCTTTCATGGGCTGAGAAATGGCTCAGCTGTGAAGAGTGCTGGCTGCTTTTATAGAGGAACTTATTTCATTCCCATCGGCCACAACTAATCTGTAACTCTGGTTCCAGGAGTCCTGAGGTGCTTTTCTGGCCTCCTCAGGTACTGCATGCAAGTGGTGCACAGAGTCATATTCAGGCAAATCACCCACATACACAAAATATAAGTAAAGCTTTAAAAATAAAATAAAATAAAAACATAATTGTACTTCAGTAAGTCATATGTTGCTAACCGAAAGATCAAATCCCTTTCTTCTCATAGAAGTTGTGAGTGGAGGGCTGAGGAACTGTTCAGTGATGTTTCCCTAGTATATGCAAGGCCTGCCTTCAATCCCTTGTACCACATACCAAAAGAAGGAAGTTGAGGACAGAATAATTATTACTAGAGTAGCAGGGAGGAAGGGAAGGAGGAGGGTTAATCAGTGGGATTAACCTATGTAATAGTTGGACAGGAACATGCAGTTCTGGTATGCTATTGCACAGTAGGGTGACTACAGATAATGTCGTGGTTTTTATTCTAAAAACACAGAAGAAAATATTTTGAATATTTTCACCAAAAAGAAATGATGTTTTTCGAGACGATGGGTATGTTAAATCTGCATTTAACATTACATCGTTGTATACAGATAAGAAATAACATCATGCTGGGTGTTCCAGGATGCCTCTAATCCCAGCACTCTGAAAGCAGAGCTAGATGGGTCTCTGTGAGTTCATGAGGTCAGTGTGGTCTACACAGAGAATTCCAGGCCAGCTGGAGTTACATAGTGAGATAGTGAGATCCTGCCTCAAAAAATCATTCTGTATGTAATATAGTGTTATGAATATGTTGTAGATATGCATCATTGTGCCTATATTTTACATACATAAATATATACAATTAGGCTAGTAGATGGTTTCGTGAGTAAGGCTGCATACTGCAAAGCCAGACAATCTGAGTTCAATCCCCGGAGCCCATATTGTAGAAGGAGAGAATGATACCACAAAAATGTCCTCTGACCTCCACATACCATGTACATGCTATGATACATGTAGACACACACACACATTATGCACACTAAAATAAATGTTAAAATTTAAAAACATGCAATTTTATGTTTTATGCATAAGTTTAAAGGTTAGTTTAAATTTTAAAAACCTGTGTCAGAAAACAAAAATGTGTCTGCAAGCAAGAATGTAGACAAATAAAGGTAGGCAGTGGTGGTGCACTCCTTTAAGCCCAACAGTCTGGAAGTAGAGGCAGGCAGCTCTCTGTGAGTTCAAGGCCAGTCTAGTCTACAAAGTGAGTTCCAGGTCAACCGGGGCTATTACATAGAGAAACCCTGTCTTGAAAACAAAGCAAAATGTATGTACACACCTAAGAGCAACATACATTTCTAGGGCTGTAGATCAAATTGAATATAACTAATAAAATTAGACTCACCAAGTTCCACTGTGTGACAATGTCTCAAAGCATAGTCAGCCACACAATCAAAATGAGATTATCACTGCTTTATTAAATCAGCATAGATAGGACTTGTACAAATTGCACATAGTCAACAACAAATAGATGTGCTTGCTCTACTAAAGACTAATATACAGAAAATATACAAGCAACTGTTGGTATGAGGACAGAATAAAATTCCATTGCCATTTTCATCCATCTCGTGCTTACTTTTTCCTCGCTTCATCATATACAGAGTAATATAAACAGTAGACTTTATTTCTAGAAATGCTCAAATCAGTAACTACAAATATGCATGACTACATTTACATATTCAGTTATCAAAAAGAAACTTCTAGAATATTTTGAGAAGCCTACGCCTTATGATTTCAATGATCTTTATGGATATAATTTGTTGTCTATCACATTCAAGCATCTTGAAAACTTCTTACAGGACTGTCGCTCTCAGAGAGGGGTGAGGCGCTCATCCTCTGTCGAGAAGCCATCATTAATGTGCCCTCCCTTCATGTCCAAGGGATCACAAGGGATGCCGTTTTCAATTGTGATGATGTTTTCACACTTGTCTTCTGCATCCTCCACTCCAGGTGGTCCTTTGTTGTTCCTGAAAGCACATGAAATGAGAGTGGATGAGGAAGCTTTGGATGAATATGGTCTTGTTCACAAACGTGGCAAATAGAAAGGGACATAAGAAGTTACAAATGCTGCAATAACTGCTGTGTACTTCCCAGGACGATAAAAAGACTACCAAGATAAAGATTCTGCATTAATGACATATATAAACTAATTAGAACAAGTAGTCTTATTTAAAACACTAGAATAAAAGTATAAGAATAGGTATAATATATTACTCACATATGAATTCACTTGCATATAAATTCATACAAACAAGTTGCATAAAAGAGCATGAAGAAATATATAGTGCACTGGCAACTTTTTAAAAATTAGCTCAGCCATGTAGTGGTGGTGCACTCCTTTAATCCCAGCACTTGGAGGCAGAGACCAGTGGATATCCCTGATTTCAAGGCCTATCTGGTTTCCAGAGCTAGTTTCAGAACAGCCAAGGCTATATAAAGAGACTATGTCTCAAATAAATAAATAAATAAATAGATAAATAAATAAATAAATAAATAATTAGCACTAAGCAAATTCTGTAACATATGAGATTTCAAAAGGTAATAAATCCCTCTCATGAAATTTAACAAAGTAATGTCTCACAAATGTTGAGTGAAACTCAAACTAATGAAATATCAGAAAGCCAATTCACCTGACTTTGAAGAAAAGAATTGCTACAAACGGACTGGCTTTACTCATTACCAAATAGTTGTATTCCTTGGTAAGTCTGGGTTTGGAGTCGAAAAAACAACACTTTGCTGATTCTATTTATAGCGCTCAACTGCAACTCCAAGTCATTCCAATTCGACATGGCAGAGTTAAGGGCTAGGTTTTCTGTTGTTCTGACTTCCTGTGTACCTTGCTATTCCCAATTCATCTCCTTAGTGTTTCTTCAGAGTATAGAAAGCTATACCACTGGGGCCTTGAGATATCATGAAGGACTTCCCACAGTAGTGGGAGTAACTCAGGTATCTGACAGATGAGGAGATGGCAAAGATTCCTTGATGCAGATCAGTAGGGGATTTCCTGAAACGTCCTACAAGAGAGTCAAATTTCATGTGTTTTAAGGACTATTGGGTACACAAAAGAGGAAAGAAAAGAAAGCTCTTCTTTACAGGAGAATTCTAGCTAATAAAGAATAATGGAAAGTCACTAATGCTATCACAGTCATTTCTGCTGAGGCTCATAAATGAAGACAAAACAGTTGAGAAAGTGATGCTAGAAATAAGATATTCACATGGTCTCAAAATACCCTCATAATCAACTTGTGAGATACAAAAGACTACCCATAGGTGGAAAAAAAAATGTCAAGTGCTTTCAGATGAACGCCGAGAAGATCCCAAATATTGTTTATTTTTCTGCATTCTTTCCCCTGAACCTCATAATCAAAAAATGAAAGTTTAAAGATATTTTATTAAAATAACTGTCCTGACCAGGCAGTGGTGACACATACTTTTAATCCCAGTACTCTGGAGGCACAGGCATGCAGATCTCTGAGTTCCAGGTCAGTCTGGTCTACAGAACAAGTTTCAGAACACCCAGGGGTACATAGTGAAACCCTATCTCAGAAAGACAAAAACAAACAAACAAACAAACAAACAAACAAACACCTATCCTGGACTCACTCAGAGGTAAATATTCAACTCAGGGGAATTAATGAATGTTGGAAAATGGCTGGGTGGATTGATAACAAATTTTTGGATGGTTGGATGGATGGATGGATGGATGGATGGATGGATGACTGAACAAACAAGTTGATGAGTAGATGTACAAACTAATATTGTATCAAACATTAGTCCAGTGTAGATGTTGAATGGAATCCATCATAAGTAGAAAAAAATGGGAAAGAGGGAAACAAGAAGAGAAGGAAAGAGAGGAAAGGGGGGGGACATAGGAAATTTCATGAATCTCTCGTGTTTTCTTTCAGTGGATGAAGAAAATACTCATATTTTAGCCTTAGGAGTTAGGAGTTAATATTGTTTTGACAAGTTTTGCTAATGACTTACTATATAATTTTAAATAGTTGACATTCATAATGAAAAATAAAATAGCATTCCAATTCGGTCAATTCCAATGTTACCATTTGACAGTACTTTGCTATTGTATATGCATTTATAAAATGGCACAAATAACTCTCTGGGCAATCACTAAATAGGAATTGTTGAATTTTCAACATTAACTCATAAAGATTTTGGCTTAATGCAGGGTTGGAAGTTTGGAGTTGTCTTTGAAGGTAAGCTATTGTGTTGCCTCTTCCTTGGGATGAAGACACATTACTGGCCATTCCAAATCTCAGCAATCAGCACAGATTTGGGTACATGAGACTTTAATATGATGAGAGTATCCTCCCGCTAGGTTAACTCACCCACGTTCTATAACAGACAGAAGTGATTTTTCATAAAAAATGAAATACTACTGAGAAATGTATATTTATAAATGATCCTCAAAACTGTGTAGCTTGGGCCAGCAAGGTGATCTTGTGGGTAAAAAGCACTTGCTGTGCACGTCTAATGACCTGGTGTGATCCCTGGAACCCACAAGAGAAGGAGAAGATTGACTCCTGAAGGTTGCCCTCTGACCTCCACACATACACTGTGGCCTGGACACACACAGACACACACACAACAACAACAACAACAACAACAACAACAACAATAATAACAAATACAATTTTCTTAGTCAAAACTGATGCTATGGTGTGCTCGCAGACAGGAGTCTAATACGTCTGCCCTCTGAGAGCCCCAACAAGCAGCTGAATGAGCCAGACGCAGAAACTTACACCCAACCAATGGACAGAAGCTGGGGAACCCTGTGGTTGAATTAGGGAAAGGCTGGAAGAAGCTGAGGAGGAGAGAGACCCCATAGGAAACCAGCAGTCTCAACAAACCTGGACCCCTGAGATCTCTCAGACACTGAGCCACCAACCAGGCAGCATACACCAACTGATATGAGCCCCCCAACACATATACAGCAGAGGACTGCCTGGTCTGGCCTCAGTCAGAGAAGATGCACTTAACCCTCAAGAGACTTGAGGCCCCAGGGAGTGTGGATGCCTAGCGGGGTAGGGGTGGGGGTGGGGACATCCTCTTGGAGACTTTGGAGGAGGAATGGATTGAGGAATAGTTGGAAAGCAGACCAGGAGGGGGATAACAACTGAACTGTAAAAAAAAAGATTAAAGATAATTAAAAATAAGTCCCCCCTAAAATTGTTCTTTGACTTGGAGTGAATAACAACTTTCTATAACACTAGATTTTAAACAAAGTTTGCTCTGAATTATGTCAGTCCAAATGACAAAAACCTTTTGGTAGTGGTGGTTCACATCACTAAATCTCAGCACTGAGAAGACAGAGACAAATGACATCTGTGAATTCAAAGCAGCATGGACTACAGAGTGAGTTTGAGGCCAGTCTGGGCCACATAGTAAGATTGTCTCAAAACAAAAAATCTTGGTGGATTGTTGTAATTTGAAACACATACACACACACACACACACACACACACACACACTGGTATATACTTACATACATATACATACTATCTGTGATATGGCATATATATGTACATATACATATATGTATATAAACATACTGAAATATGCAATGCAAAGGTAGTCTGAGAAGCAATGGCCAGTATATACTGGCCAGCCAGTTTCTTCTGTAAAACATAGTTTTGTGGGGTTAGAAAATAATAACAGAGAGCTAAATATGTGCAGATCAATGTGAGGGATCTGACCTCCCCTATTCCAACTACAAAGGAAGAACGAACCATCAGGCATCACAGTGAATAGGGAATAAATCAAAGAAAAATACAAACAGGAGATGTGTTTTCTTCTTCCTAAGAAGGTTCAGTTTCCAACTAGAAAGAGTCAGAGGGAAATTCTTATGGGAACCTATCAAATTGAGCTGTGTTGGAGGTAACTCAGGGACATCTTGTTTAGGGTGACCTTGGGTCCAGTTGTTCAAAGTCTTGGTGCTTCTGGGCTTCACAAACTGCAGTGTCAGGATCTTGCTAGTTGGTAGACATGATAAGCAGCTCAAAGGTTATCTAACAACTTTATAGCACTTTGTCACATTGCATTGCTTGTGCCATAATAAACTGATCCAGTACCCATGGGTTGCTCTTACTGAGGATAATAAAACTTAACTGTCTTTCTGGATTATTCTGATTTGATGTTCTGCTAAAAGCATGAGTACTTTTTTCTCGAATGGTCTGAGAAGGAAAGCTATGATGATGCTACCTCCTAGGAGATTTAAGGGTGGTTATGCCCCATAAATACAGAGAGAAGTGTCCAGAAAGAGGACACGAGAAATCTCAGGAGGTCTTTGAGGGGTACATACAGTGTGTTGTTGACCAGAATATGCTCTGTTCTGAGTATATGAATAAAAGCAGAAAGAGTATTCATGTCTCTCTTAAAAGTAGGGCCCAGGAGATAAGTCCCAAGAATAGCCAGGAAAACAACAGTTAGGACAAATATATTTTTTAAACAAGACAGAACTAATTATTGGCAATTAGAACAATCTTAATGATCCATCTAAACAATTCCTAAGGAAAATGTCATTGTTGCTGGAATGACTTAGTGGACTTTGCAGTATAGTGCCTGGCAACTCCCTAATCATGCATCACAGTAGTCAAGTTCTTTAATATTAGTCAATAATATTATTCCAGTAAGTAATTATTCCAATAATATTGTAATAATAATTATAAGAGTCTATGGCATAAGTCTCACTAGATACTTTTTATGTGTAATCTTACTGAGTTCTTGCTACAATGTGGTACAGATTTTATTATTCTTGTTTTTCAGATGATGAAGACTGAGTTTCAAATATATGTAGTGACTTTTCTTTCAGAGTGGAAGATGATTCATGAAAGGAGCTGGCCTAGAACACTATTTTAGACACACCAGCCTCTACCCAAAACACACTGACTACTGCATGTATATTTTTTATTTCTTTATTAATGATTCATTCTGTGATAGGAGCTTTCTTGCT